CCCCGCCTCGATATCCCCCCACACCGCTCCCCCCCCCTCCATCCCCCCTCGTCGCTGCCGCCGTCGGTTCGGGCACCTGCCGCCGAGAACGCTGGAATGCTCGGCGGCAGGATTGCCGCGGGCAGCTAGGCAGGGCAGGCGGAGACGAGGCGGCGACAGCGGAAGAGGAGGGAGGCCCGCGGAAGCCCCTGGCCATAGAGTGTGGGGGTGGGTGGGTTTAACAACGGTGCGGGGGAATGCTCGCTGCGACGGAGGGTGCGAGCGGGGCGGTCGAGGAAGCTGCCTGGGGAAGATCGGAGAGACGGCGAGGGGGGAGTACGAGGGCAGCGGGGAGCGGAGGCGGGAGCCCGTTCGGGCCTTGAGGACCCGCTTGCTGCTGCACGCCGCCGAGGCCGCGCCGTCGCCGATGCCATTGTTCAGCTTGAACGCGGCGATGGCAATCTCCGAAGCCTCGCCCACGAGGTCGTTCACGGCGCTGGCGAACGTCGCCTCGAGCAGCTTGTCCATCCCGTCAGCCATCTTCGAGAGCTGCGACGCTTCAACGCCCTCCACGACGATGCCGCCGTCGCGCATCCTCCCGAGAATCCTGACGGCCTCGACCTTCGCGTCCATGAGCACGTTGATCCGCGTGCCGTAGTCCATGGTGTTCTTGGGCATCACCGCGTACAAGTCCCACTTCCCCTCGTCGCCGCACCTGTAAAACTGCTCCCCATCCAGGCGCCTGTCCTTCGTGCGCGGCCAGGTCGCGGCTATCGAGCGGCCGAACATCCAACCGCCGTCCCACAAGCCATAACCGTCCTTGCGACCGCCAGCCGAACCGTTGAAGCACCCGATCATCCACTTGATCAAGTTCTAGGGATACAACCAACACGCTCAGAATCACAACCCCCAACACAACCACCCGTCTTCATCGCCGCTGCCGCCTTCCCGTGCCCCCCCCCCCTCATACTCGTCCTCATCCGACGCGTTTGCACGCGCCGCTCCTTGACCGACGGCGGGTGCGTGACGCCGAACCCCGTGGTCGCGCCGTCGATCTCCCAAACCCCTTCGTCTATGTGCGGCCCTGGGAGGCACAAGCCCGCACGGGCGCGAAGACCGAGGGCTCGTGAGAGCCCGCGAGCTCGCGGGGGCCCCGCGGCCCCCGCCAGCTGGGGCATCTGAAGCTTCAGGGCGCCTCTGGAAACCTCCGTCGCCGTCGTCGTCGTCGTCGTCCGTCGTCCGTCGCCCGTTGTCCGCGGTCCGTCACCTGCAACCGCCAGGGTCGTCCGTCGCCCATCGCCTGTCGCCCGTCGTCCGTCGCCTGGCACCCGTGGCCGTCCGTAGTCGTCGTCGTCGTCGTCGTCGTCGTCGTCGTCGTCGTCGTCGTCGTCGTCGTCGTCGTCGTCGTCGTCGTCGTCGTCGGACCGACCTGGCGGACGCCGCGGCTCTGGGCGCGCGTCGGCGCCCGAGCGAACCGAGGGCAGCTGCAACCGTTGGGCAGCGCTGACCTTCGCGCCAGGGGAGCCAGTCAAGGCGGAGGGGGGGGGGGGGGGGCGCGCATCGAGGGCGCATTGCGACGTGCGAGCGCGCGAGGGACCACGCGCGCGCATGAACAATATGATGGGCGCGCGCGCCAGGATTTGCCAAACCACGCAGTGCCATGGCCAGGTCTACAGGCGGAGCGGCGCAAGCCTAGCGAATAGCCGAAGTCGTACCACTTGCAAAGCTTGATGTGGCCAGCGCGCCTTGCTGCCTGCACACAACGAACCCGCGCTCGACAGTCGCGGGCAGGGCTCGGCCACTGGGGGGGAAGGGGGGGGGGGGGGCTGCCCAAAGGCCGACGTGGAGCTCGACTGGCATGCGCTCGGCACCGCCACCTCCCCCGAAACAATCGGGCGAGAAGGGGGCGCGGACGCCAGATTCGCAACCGCCGCGCGCCTCGATATCGGCGCAGATCTCTGCCAGAAACTGCTTGTCACCCTCGCTGGTCGGGGATCCGCAGGGGGTCGAGATCGACTTCTTGAGCTGATGGCTCACGCTCCCCCATGGCGCCATGGCACACCGCGGCGCGGCCGCCGCCCCTTCGGCCCTAAGACAGAAAACGCAGGCTGGTTGGGCCTGACTGGGCGGGCCGAGGACTCTGGAGCAGGGGATCCGTTTGACCCAGCGAAGGCCCCGAGGCTCAAAACCCAAATGGGCGCGCACCACGGCCCATTGAGGACGCGGGGCCCGAAGCGCCGTGACATCGCGAAACATGGAGGGCGCCAACCCAGAGAAATCCAGGAACCGATGTCGAATGTCACCCAGAGCGGCGGCAACACCAACGCTGTCGGAAGACGCGGGGAGGACCCACTGGAAGCCCATCGAGATCAACCCTGAAGGCATCTTCACCCCCCCCCCTCCCCCGCCCGATCCCCCTCCCCCCCCTCGTTCCTGCTCCCTCTTCGCACTCCTCCTCCTTCTTCGGCGACGAGGGCGACGACGGCGGCGACGGCGACGGCGACGGCGACACCGACGACGACGAGTGCGAAGACGACGGGCACGATGACGGGCACTGCATCGACGACGACGACGGCGACGACGACCATGGCGGCGGCAACCGCGCACCAAAACTAGAGCACCCATTGCCAAACCGTCACCCCCAAAGCACCCTCGGTGGATGCCTCAGCCCGCATCGGGCGCGGTCTCGAGGCACGCTCCCCCCCGACGCCCTGCCTGCGCCCTGTCGGACCATCCTTCACTGACGCATCGAGCTCGCACTGGGTCGTCGGTCTCCCCGCCGCCGACGCCCGAGCTCGCGCCGCTCCGTTGCGAAGCGGCACCCCGTCAGAAGATGCCGTCGATGGGGCAGTTCTTCTCCTGGAGCGCGTTGTCGCTGAGCCACAACCTCCAAGCCGCCCTGACCGCCTCCATCATGGCCATGCGGGAGTTGTTCCCGAAGCGCGCCCACGGGATCGACATCCGACGATGGCCTGCCAAATGGAAATGCCATCCCCCACGGGTGTTAGCGCGCCACACCGAGCAGTTCGGCGGCATGTACGTCTTCGCCTCGCTCTGCGGCAGGTCGTCATCCCCCTCGGCGGGCAGGGCGAATCGCTTCGGAAACACCTTGCCGTAAAATGGCGAGCGCGGGTTCGCCTTCCCCGTCGGCGTCTTGCCCCTCATCTTGACCTGGGCAGGGGAAGGCGGCGGGGGGGGGGGGGGGCATCGGGAAAGGAGTGGGGTGAGGAGGGAGCGCCATGAACCAGCTGGGGTAGGACGATGGAGCAGACGATGGGGGGAAGGGGGGGGCGGGTGCGATGCGATTGGAGCGGGCGGAGGAGAGGGCATCGGGGAGAGAAGAAGATGCGGAGAAAGAAGGAGAGGGAGTGAGAAAGACAGCGAGATAAACATACAAAAGAGGAACATGAAGGGATGAGAGAGTAGACCAGGGGAGGGGAGAGGAGAGAGAGAGAGAGAGAGAGAGAGAGAGAGAGAGAGAGAGAGGAGAGAAGGGGGAGAGAGAGAGAGAGAGAGGGAGAGAGAGAGAGAGAGAGAGAGAGAGAAAGCGAGAGAGAGAGAGAGAGAGAGATAGAGAGAGAGAAAGGAGAGAGAGCGAGGGAAAGGGAACGAGGGGGAGGGAAGACGGAGAGAGCGGATAGAGAGAGCTGGGGGGTGGGATAATCTCTCACCCCCATCTCTCCTCACCCCCCCCTCTCTTCAATTCCTCCTCGTGCATGCGGCGTTGCACCGCCCTCCCCCTCATCTCCCCCATCACCCCCCCTCCGCAATCCCTCTCTCGCATCTCCCTCCCACCTCGCCTCCCTCCCCATGCCTGTCAGATCTCCATCCCCAGCCCCTCTCTACCTGCCACGCACCCTAAACCCTCCACCATCCGACCCTCCTTGCAACGCTCCCCCGTTTCCAAGACTGGGCGGCCTTGTACTTCACCAGGTCGGCGCAGAAATCCCAGCGGCTCTGCGACGTGGCCTTGGCGCTCTTCATCTCCTCATTCATGGTCTCGGCCGACTCGCGGTCAAACGCGTCCACGACCCAATCCAGATTGCACAAGTCTTCGCAACCCTGGAGGTCGTCCTCGTAATGCAAGTTCCGCTTGTCCATGACGGCCACCAGCTCCTCGCTCGTGATCGCGGGAAACGCGTTCTTGGCCAAGGCCTCCAAGACTGGGATGAGGCTGCACGAGGAATACTCAATGCCGCGAAGGTCACACAACTCGCGGAGATAGCAAAGGGGGAGGTCCCAGAAGCCATTCTCCGCCGCAACCTGCCAAAGACCCTTGATCGCGCTGGTGCTCTCAACCTTGATTGTCATGCGGCCGTAAGCCGCGGGCCCCTTGATGGTGATGTCCGTGGTTGGCAAGGCCCACCCTCCGAGCTCCTTCATCTCAGCGTATATGGCCTGGCGGAGAGGGCTGACGAACCTCGCGGGCTGGGCCTCCCACTCGTCCACGTTGAAAATGCAGATCAGATGTCGCTTGGCATCAGCGCGGAGCGGGTGCACGGCGCTCTCGTCGGCGCCGTCGTGCTCCAGCGGCCACCCGACCGCGACGCTGCCCTCGATGCTCCCGATGCCAAGGTACCAGTCACGAGTGTGCTTCTTCTTGATAATGGCGTTGCGCTGCACGAGCCGCGAGTACAGCTTGTGACCAATGAACTCCCACTTGTTCTGCGCATCGGCCTGCCGCAGCACCTCCACGTCAGCAAGTGGGGCCATATAGCTAGATGCGCCTGGCGAGTACCAGTGCGGATCGATCCTGCTTGAGATCTCGCTGAACTGCGCCTCCTTCAGGTCCTGGGGCAACTTCGACTTCCGAAAGGGAGGGGTGAACGCAGTGTCCGACATCAAAGACGAGCGGGGCGCAACTGCAGACGTGCGGGAAACCTCTGTGTAACTATGCTTCGTGCCGAGCATCCCACTATCAATCACCTTCGCCATCGCGTACACGGGCGTCGTCACCGTGTTGCTCTTCTTATCGGCGGACGTCTTCACTGTATTGAACATGTCCTCCACAATTTGTGAACAAACCACTCGCCGACATTTCCTCTCTATCAAGTCTGTCAGCCTGCGGCGCGGAGGGGCGTCAAGGGCGGGGTAGGCGCGCGTGGAATAGCGGGGGGGGGGGGCGGGGTCAACGATGGCCATGGGGCTCGGGCAGGGAAGGGCGAGGCGGGCATGTTGACGCGGCAATGGCCGCCGACGAGGTGAGGGGGGGGGTGCTCGGCGGACGGAGCAGCGAGGGGCGGGCGCAGCGGGCAGCTGGGCGGCGAGTGGGCGGGTGACCAGAACCGACGCGCTCGAGAAACGGCGGCGGCGGGGACTGGGGCACCGCCGACCCCCCCCCCCCGCCAGCGCGCCGCGGGAAAGGTTGGAGGCTGGCGGGTCGGGAGAACGACTGGGGTAGATTGGGGAAGAGGCAAGGCGATCGCTGCACGGGGCGCCTGGGAGTCCACATCCAGTCGTCGGCGTTCAGGCAAGCCAGGAGCTGCTTGACGCTCGTGAGCTGAAAGACGGACCGCGACACAATGAGCTCCTGGCCCTTGAAAGCGGACCCGACCAACTTGTCGTACAAGATCGCGTCGCGCTGGAACTCCCTCATGTACGCGTCCCGCGACGCGTCGTCCAAGAGGAGCGTCTGCCGACGCGGAACGCCGTGCGTGAAGGGTAGATTCCGTCGCGTCAGCTCCAAAACTCCCTCAGCCATGATGTCGCCGAGCATGGTGGCGAAGTCGTCGCTCATGGAGACCCGCGGATGCGCGAGCTGTATCGTGCAGCCGCCCCACTCCGCCTCAATGCCCATGTCCTCGTACTTCGTGCTATCCAAGAACGCCTTGACAATTGCAGCCTCATACTGATGGCACTCTCCATTCATCATGCTCGTCTCCCAAGGGACAGTGGCGTCCAAGTTGCGAAGCGCCGCGCTCTGCCTTCGATGAAACAAAAGGCTGGCAACCAAGCCCCCTCGCTAGCACGGGCGGCCCTGCGACCCCCGCGCTGGCGCGGGGGCTGGCCCGACGGCGACGACGACGACGGTGAAAACGACGGCGGCGACGGCAAGGGCGGGGAGGACGAGGTGGCGGGGGGGCGGGGGCGAGCAAGAGAGGGTGAGCGGGGGGAGAGGAGGGGGGGGGGAGGAGGAGGTGGGATGAAGGAATAGGAATGCCCAAGTATTGGCCCGCCGATGCCTTCCATGAAATTGCGCGACTGGCCCCGGCCCCTCGATGATGATCTGCTGCCTCGCCAGGTTCTCCAAGTCACCAAATAAATATGCTGCCTTATCCAATTGGTTGGCCGTCATGTCAGCCCAGCTCTGCGCTGCGGCTTGCTTGAGGGTAGGCTTGTCCTGGACCTCGACAGCTGGAACAGGGGCTGGGACGAGGGCGGCCGCCCCTGCAGGCGCCCCTGCGGGCTGGGCCGATGACGGGTCCCTGAGCTTGCGGTCGAGCCCCTTGTATCCCAAAGAAATGGCGGCGACGTTGTACAGATATGTTTTCATCCCGTAGTCTGTGATGGTCTTGCGAGCTGTGGTCACTGGATGACAGTACTTTCCTAAATCCAACCAGCTCTCTGGGAGCACGCGGCCTGGGGGCTGCTTCTCTGCCAGCCCCCGCCCCTCTCATTCGGCGAGGCGGTTGCGCCCCCCCCTCCCCTCCCTCCCCCCCCCCCGCCCCCGCCCCCACCCCCATCCCCCGCCCTGCGCCCGCCCCTCCTCTGGATCTGGGCGGGGCGCCTCGCTGGTGGCCAGGGCGTCTAAGGTTGCCCGATACGGCCCCCAGAGGGCATCGGGGAAGCCCAAGTTGATCTCCAACATGGCTCAATCTAACCTGGGACGCCCCAATATGGCACCCAATGTGCCCCAACGTGCCCCATGGCCGCTACAAGGCGGCCCCAGGCAACCAGCGAAGTGCCATAGGAACCGCCCCAGAGCCTACAACCCTTCAGCAGACCGCGGGAACCCAATGACATGTGCAATCTGTTGTTTTTCGCATTCGGCAGGCATCCGAGGCCTCGAGGGCGCTCCAGGCGGCTCAACCAACGCGCCGCGGGATGCCCAATTGAGCCCCAGAGCGGCCCCAACAACGCCCAAGGGCACTCCTAGAGCGC